GGAATTCTAGCTTGCTGAGGGTTTCAAAAGACTATAAGGAAACAACTGTTCAATGTATGTGTAAATCAAAGGATTAGTGATATTAGTACCTTGAAATGTGATAAGGGAGGCCTCTGAAAAGCTATCAGGACATTAGCATAATATGATTGGGCTTTGAGGAATACAGAGGACTGTTTTTCCTTCCCACCATTCCTATACCGTTAATTTTCTGCTGATAAATATCTGATTTAAGTAGAAGGTAGCACCTACTCTATCCACCAAAGTGATTTTGAAAAAGAGCAAGAGAGGGAGAGAGAGAGAGAAACTAGGAACCCCATATAGATTCTGAGATACTTGACAATATCACATCTTCTTAAAATATTCTGGAGAAAACTTGGCCTCTGGAATGCTATTCTTTTCATCTTCAAGAAACTAAAAATTTTGAAAGAAGTCCAACTAATGCTACCTATTTCAAAGTAGCAATAATAAAAATATACCTGGGGTTTGATACAACTTGTGCCTCTAGATAGTTACTTCTCTGAATTCAGTAGCCATGAGAAACACAGGGTACTAGACTGACTCTCCATCCAGTTTCCTTGTCTGAACTGGAGGCTGAAGACAAGCCCACTACCTTTGAAACAGCCTGAAAGTCTAACGAGGCAGGCAAAGTGGAGGTCTAATCAACTTCTAACTTTCATAAGTTCTCTTCAGCAATTCAAGCAGAGATATCAATTTCCTACTAGAATAGGAATGTTTTAGGAAAAGGAAAGTTCAAATAGCCAGCATGGATACCTCCTTTGTTCTGCCCCTCTAATGGATTTAGCAAGAAATTATTCAGAAATAGAAGGGGAGAGTGAAATAAATGAATTTTAACATTTTTTACCTGACTAATACATATATTTAAAATTTGCGAAACAAAATTACTTTTAAATTATATGGTAATGGTATTAATTTTATAAGCCAGATCGTTTTATTTAGAATATGTATATAGAGGATTTCACAAAAGGATATTTATGCTGATTGGAGAAAAGTACTTCAGTGAGTTGTTCTGGCAATGCCAGTGAGCAGAGAGCAGGAATTCAAGGTCAAAGCAAAGAACAAACAAAACGAACAAACTGATAGACACCCGAAGGGTGGTTATCAGAGAGGAAGGGCAATGACGGGAGGATGAAGAGGGTAAAGGGGGTCAAATATAGGGTAACAGAGGTAGATTAGACTTTGGGTGTTGAGCACACAATGCAATTACAGATGATTATAATTGTGCACTCGAAACTCATAGAATGTTATTAACCTATGTCACTCCAATGAATTTAATAATGAAAATTGTCTAGAACCTTAGACAAGTTATAAAATACGTTTCCCTTTCTATAATACACATTTTCACCATATTAATTAGCATATTCTTATTATTACTGACATTAGCTCTTTTTTTTTTTTTAGGTTTTTAAATTTTTTTATTTTAAGAAAATACATAGCCAGGAATCACTTCATTTCTACTGTGTAAAAATTATCATGATTTATTCAAGATCTAATTACATCAAGATAAACTGAGCTTTCTTACAGTTTAGATACAACATATCTTTGTAAAGCTAAATAAGCTACTTGTTGAATCTTTTACATTAATTTTCACATTACCAATTGTTTAATGGCTTATATACTCACTGAACTGTTTTCTCAACATCATGTAAAATGACTGAAAGACAGAAGTCTTCAATATCTATGAAATAAGTAAATGTATATTAATTACAATTAGAACACTTACTTTCTTCAAGAATGACTAAATCATTGTCTGTGCGTTAGAGTTGACAAAATAGATTCGCTTGGAATTTTTGTTGCAATTCTGCTAGCAAATATCATACTGCTTAGAAACCATTCACTAGTCTGAAACCTTAAACTCACATCCCACATCTTAATCATCTTGAGTTGAAGGATTACCATTTTAACATTGGGTAGCAGAGCTTCCTTGAGGCTCCTGAAGAAGAAGGGGGCATCAGTTCACTAGCAACCGTTCTAACCTTGCCTGAGCAGGCCTACAAATCAGTCTCATTCCATTTGCACATTCATTCTGATATTCAACAACTAGACAAGAGCTGGGTAAAAAGATTATTTAAAAAATCGACTAGAAATATTTTAAAAGTTAAATTTTCCTTTGGCAGATCACCAAAAAGCTTGTATCTTTGCGCTAGAACCCACAGATTCAGATCCTCTATACAGTCCTTACTTACTGCATGTTTAATTTTAGATGGTGGGGGACAAGGAAAGAGGGAAAGTGAAAGAGGGAAGAATGGAGGGGGACAAAGAGAGCTTATTACACAGAAAACATCAAAAAAATCTAGAGAATTACAAATTAAGAAAATGCACTGAGAAATATTTTCATTCTCTTTTCCAGTACTTGTTTACAACTCTGCCTTCTTGGAAGGGAATTCGTGAGCTGTAATACTTGAGGAGATTCAGATCTATATATTTTAGGAATTTCCTATCTGCCTTATTCATCACCCATCCAGGAGCAAGACCAAAGAAAATCTGTTTTGAATCCTTTCAAGTACTAAGCATTTTTTAAGAGTTCATCTTTAGTGATATCAGGTAAAATGTATCTATGCTTCTTGGCAAGTTCGTCTTGCTTCAGGAAATTTGGCAAGATCTGCCAGGTAACCACGATTCTTTGGATCTGTGTAATATGGGGGACTGGGGCTTCAAGTGGAAGCATTCATTTTGGAATGTGTTGTCTCCTCAGAAAGAATGGAACAGATTTGCACAAAATTTCCACATTTCTTGTATCAGAAGGCTGTAGTAACAACAACATCTTTTTTTTTTTGATTGCAGCAATGGCTAGTTCTGAAGCCAACTGTACTTCAATATTAACTTTTGCCTTTAAAGTGTCAGCACCCTCCTTTACCTGCTGGACACCATAATCCCTTTTTTGTGGCTGGATGATCACACTTCTCCCATTGACAAACTAGGTTAAGTTAATAGCTATTGCTGTTTTAATGGTGTATAAGGCAGGGCTTTTGGAGGGTAGTTTCTTGCATCAGAAGTCCATAGGCAACTTATGGCCATCTTAAATGGTCCATAGACTCCAGGAGGCATGAGAAAAGTTACTGAAGCTTCTACAGAGAAGGTAGCGTGGAGGGCACTAACAGGAGTGCCCTTTGATTTCTAATTAGATAGATTCTAGGGCCTTTTGTTGGAACGGGCCCCACTCCTAGTGGGCTGATTTGTTATAACATCAGTGAGATTATGTAAAAGTTGTAAATATAGACTATTGCCTCTACAGCCCAACAAGATCTAAAAGACGTTGGACTTATATCAACATTGTGGGTGTAAAGAGGGTCAATAGCTGTTTCTTGACAGTGTCAGTGATGGAGCAGCCCTGTATGCCACATAATTTTCAGGAATTTAACAGAGGTGGTAGGGCCCTTGCACCATGTATGGGGAAATGGCCTGTCCTCTTTTTGTGAGCTCCTTCGTGAGTATTTGTGTGTTCTTAGTGAGTATGTCAAACTGTCAATGTGATGTCATATCTGTGCTCCTAGAGAAAGATGGACATAAGTGATATCTTGCTTGAAAAGACTGTATAGGATGGCAAGGCTGCTAAGGTACCCCATAGGTAAATGAGTGTGTGTCCCTTCAGAGGTGAAGGCAAACTGCAGCTGAGAGACTATTGAAATAGGCATTGAACGTATTAGTCAAATTTATAATATCAAATTATTTACCAGTCCCTAAATGGATGGCATAAGTAATTTCAAAAATATTTAGAACTGGCTGTTGGGGCACATATTTAGTTTTGTCTTTTAAAATGATTCTTCGGGGGTTTTTATTGTTGTTTTAAGAATATGAAATGCCTATGTGTACATATCTTTAACAAGGTTTGTTTTGTTATTTGTTTTAAGAACACAAAATGTCTTTCAGTTGTGCCTATAAAGGCTGTAAATCCTGCATTTGCCTGTTACCTTAAGAGTAGAGTAAGCGCACGTATCTGGCACGTGTGCTAGACAAAGTTGCACATGTTACTTGACTACTCTCAATTTGCTTTCTCTCTCTGTAAAATGGGAGAATGGCCACCTAACTAGACAGCTGCGGGAACTCTAAGACCACCTACGTAAAATAAAACGTTAGTCCCCCCCAAAAAATTTACATTTTGAACAAGCAATTACTTTGAAGGACAGCTTTGCAAATGTATTATTTTTTTGCAAGGACTGTGTGTGTATATAAATATAAATATATATATATGTAATATGATTTTTGTAACTTGTGCTACCAAAATTTTCTTCCTGGAATTGTGAGATTTCATTGCCTTTTTCCCTTGTCTTTTCTGTTTTGGTTGTTCATGTGTGAGTGTGTGCTTGTGTGTGTGCTCGTGCACTTGTGTGTGTTCATCCATCTCTAGAGATATAGGATACAATCTCAAGTAAATCTTAATACAATCTTAAACTACTCAATTAGCCAGTTATTATCAAACTACCTCCCAGAGGAGTTGAAGGAAAGTCAGTGGAAAAGTTCTTGGTAAACTTAAGATATTGTGCAAGCCTAAAGTGATGCATTGAGAATTTTAATGTTTTTGCGAGGATTTTAATAAATATTCATCAGTTCTCCCTCTCTTGTCAACAATTAATCTATTCACTCATTATATATTTATGGATTAATATGCCCGATACCAATTAATCTAACTATAATCTTATTTAGATTAGAAGGTTATGCTGCAAATGTTCACACTGGAAAACACTGGATTATGAGAATATGAATATGAATGATTTCTATTTTATTTTTGTTGACATAATTTAGTGCAATGGCCCTGCCTAGCTTTATAATTAAGGAAAGTTTTCAAATATTGAAGAACTTTCCATAAGTATGCAAAATGGCTTGAGGATAAGAAAAGAGAAAAAATACAACCAGAAAAGGGCCAAGAAGGTTGGACAAATGGAGGAAAGGTGAGAAGGATAAACCTAAGCTGGGAGTGAGGGGTGTAGGTGCTGGATTGCAAGGAGGTGGGTGGGGAAAGGGAGGGGCGGAGTTTAGACCACTGACTCAAGATCTAAATGGTAGTCTAAGGGCTATAAAAGCTTGGTGGAGCCAAGAGAAAGCAGCCAGAAGTCCAGGATTGGCACACAGTCAGAGGCCAGCAGGAGACAGAGGCTAAAACGCCCAGAACAGGGGAGATTGTGTCCGGGATGCCGCACCTGTTCTTGTGCCACCTTCTAGGAGTTTGGCTGCTACTGAGCCAACTTCCCAGAGAGGTCCAAGGCGAAGACATGATTAAGATGTGCGGCGGAGAATTAGCTCGTCTCTGGATCAAACTCTGCGGCTCTTCCAAAGTGGGGAGAATGGATCCGAGCCTGAAGCGGAATGCGCGGGCATCTGTACCGCTTGCAGGTGAGAGCTCCCGCCCGGAGCCGCTCCACATTTCCCATTGGTTGCCGTCGGGCTGCTGACCAATTGGAGCGGCAGCCCACACAGCTGGGCTCCAGACTTCATTGACTGCTTGAGCTCAGCCCAGACTCTGAAGCTGCGGGTGCCTAAAAGTTTGGGCTTTTCCCTCGTAACTTGCTTTTCTGGGAAGGCCCTCACTGAGGATCTCACCAAAGGGAGGGAAAGCAGCGGGAACAGCAAACGGTTTCACCTGAGGGAACTTGGTATCTCTCACCTCGCGGCAGCCAGGGTGACCGGGTGGAGAAAAGGGAGAAGCTACAGAGGAAGTAGGGATGCCCAAAGGCCCGCAAGAGGCAGGGCTCACTGGGGCCGGACCTCAGAATCAAGGTATGTGGACCGGACCGCGGGAGTGCTGGTGGCTGGGGAAAATGGACGGAGCATCTTGACTGGCAGGACAGGGGCCAAATAGGTGTGAGCTAGTAATGAAGCTTGTCTGAGGGGCATGGGGCAGAACTCAGAGGCTTCCCATAGGACCCCGGAGTGGTAAACATGAAGGGCCATAGATTTAAAGACTCTTCTCCTTTGTAAAAAAGCTTGGCTATGGCCCACGCCATCGAAAACTTCCTCTTTTATATTAATTTTAATTTTATTTGTAAATTTCACCAAAGGGGAGAGCCTAGCCTCCCACCTCTTTGAACTGGGTCTCGAAGTTCATTTGTGAGAGAAGGGATTGAAAAGAAAGAAAAGGGCCTGATTGCCTATGGGAGAAACTGAAGGAGACAGAGAGTCAAGGGACGTTTGCCCTTCAGACAAACACAGCTGAAAAGAACAAAAAACCCAGCATTTGGAAGCTGCAGTGGCTTATCTTTCAAAGCAAAATCTCAGAATCGAATGCAGCTCAAATCTGGAATATTTAAAAAACACTATTAGTCATAAGCATTTATAAAGGCAAATTGGAGGCTAAGTTTAAGTAGCAATGAAAACTTTCACAGAGTTATAGCTCCCTTCTTAGGGAACACATGGAACTTATATAGTACATGATCCACAACATTGGAACAAAACCCGTACATGGTACATTAGTCAGTACATTCACACAACAGATACTAATCTGTTCCTAAAGCCAGTGATTTTTTTGGTTAGTATTCTTTTAACCCATTTCTCTATTTAATGTGAAGTACAATTGATTTGGAGTAAATACTCTGGGGAGGAGAATTGTTAAATAGTAGAAGTATGAGGAATGTCAGGAACTGGTATCTCCTGCTTAATAGATCAGAGCAGTTGGAAATTCTGCCTTTTAAACTTTATCTGGAAGCAGTAATATTCCACCCTAGAACATCTAACAGTTTAAAATAATTAATGTGCTATTGAAGGGTTATTATCATAACTCAGAATTTACTTAGTAATGGAAAAAAATTAGGTAAGAGAAATTAATCTGTGATTAAACTGAGTGTTTTCGATGATTAAGATGACTTCAAGTATGTCAGGTAGAGTCAAAGTGCTTTGATGAAAGCATTAAAGGGACACAAGGAGAGATGACAGAGAGTCTGAGTGGACTAAAGCAGAACCTGGGTAATGTTGTAGTATTTTAGGCTCCCCAACTATAATAAACTAAATTGTTTAGGTATCAAGATACTTGCTGATTGTTTTGATGTTTAATTCTATTGAGGCAATGCTTTCCTTTATGTCTGCAAATTTTTGTGGTTTTCCTAATATTCATTGACATAAATATTTTCTCCTCCCCCTTTTATTTAATTTAGAAATCATGCCGTCCTCCATCACCGAAGATGCAAAAACCTTAAACATGTTGGAATTCATTCCTGCAGCTGAACACAGCACTTTCTGAGAGGCTGGCACCATTGAAAGAGCTACAACAAGCTGCATTAAAGAATTCAAATCTTAACTCTGAAGAATTTAAGGAAATTATCATTAATCGACAAAGCGAAACAGAAGACAAAAGTCTTTCAGAATTAAAAAAGATAGCCTCAGCTAAACATTTCACTACAAAAAGAAACAAGGCTGGCATAGCTAATAAGTGTTGTAATTTTGGTTGCACCAGAAAAGAGCTAACTAGGTACTGCTAAGATAAAGTTAATTGTGTATTTCACCTAATAATCGTTTGTATTCTCACAGGCATTCACATTCATCGATGCCTCCCTCACCCCCACTGATTATTAGAATATGAATAATTATTAGTAACGTTTGGGTTTTTAATTTTGTGTGTAAGAAAACATTCCTTGCATTATTGTAGTTTCTGCTAATAAATACTTTTATGCTAAAAAGTATTTCTGTTTTTTATTAATGGACTAATTATGTTATTGCTTTTTTAATGCTGTTAACTTAAAATGACAATAAAATCTTTATCACTTTACATTCAACTCAACTTAAAAAAATTGTTTTTAAATAGATAGCTTAGTAAAACTCTGTCTCGCATTAGTGAGAATGGATAAGTCTGTTTTTGAAATTTGTATCTGATAAATTATTACCTGTCACTCACTTTTTCCTCTAGACCCAATATCCAAATATTCTTTCACTACTTAATATTAAACAAATTAATAGCAAAAGAAAAAATGAAAAATAATTCAACTTACACAATGCCTAACACCAGGCATATAAAGTGGACCAAAATGTTTTTATTGATACTACTTCTTATATCAGGTATATAAAAGTCATAAAATTTAGGCTTTTCTAATAGACCTTAAAAGATTTGTGTGTTGTATTGAATTAATAATTGCAAGCAATCAGTTGGACACAAAAGCAATTTAATTCAGCTGGGGCTATATAAACTCAAGCACTTTTCAAACTAGGCTTTTTCTCTTAATTCTACCATCTAAGACATTGAAAAGTAAATTATATTTTTTAAGGAAGAAAATGAATAGAAATATGTAGAAGAGGATGAACAACTCAGTGTCATATTATAGAAGAACTGGTTTAGCAAGGGAATATATATTAACTATTTTAGAATTTACAAACCATTTCTGTAACAAAGTAATTGTGAATTGATATGAAAACTTGTTAGAATAGTAAATTAACAAAGTTATCTTAGTATTTAGCCAGTTCTTTCAACTTACACACACATAAAATATCAGACAGCATTTATAGAAAATGCACTCAAATAGCAGGTAAATCTCTGTAAATAGTCTGTAAATAGAATTTAAAGAGGTTAAGACAGCAACTGCCATATTTCAAATCCTATACATGATTAATAATAACCAGACCTCTAAGGTTTATTAAGTTCTCACCAAGGCCAACTTGTAAAACTTCATAAATGGCTGCAGAATCTCAGCGGCCATATGACATCTTGGACAAAGCCAAGAAGAATGCTATTTGAAATGGAAAGTCCAACCCAGGAGAACAAGGGCAGTGACCAGAAAATCTACAGCCTAGACAAGACAAAGAGGCATCCTTGGAGGCATCTCCCCAGACTCTGTCCTGGCCCATGTCCCTCATCTGCTCCTCCACAAAAGCCCTGGAGGCAGGGCCCCGGTCCAGAATCTGCATTCATCACCTCTGATGATATGGTCACTTTTTTAGTGGGACAAATATAATCTGTGATTAACCATCTACTATAAACACTTAAATACCCAGTTGACATTGTTAAGATATCTAATTTTTGTGGTACTAAAGTCTTCCTAAAACTCTCATGAGAAACTAATGATTGTACGCTTAATTTATCTCTTGTATAAAAAAATTACCTTTTATATATATTTATCAGTTAGGATTGTGTTCTTTGTAAATAATATAAAACCCCATGAGAGAACCTTTAAAACACCTATAGAGTAAACATCCAACCCTGTCTAGCATGGAAATGATAGCAGCAGTATCTTCCCACCTTTCCAATAAGCTGTGCTTAGCATATAGGCCTTTCTCCTCATGGTCCCCAAATGATTGCTGTACTCTGGGTCTCAGTGTGCCTATTTAGGGCAGGGAAAGGATGAGAAAAGAGAAGGCTTAGTGCCTGGATCAGAAAAGCAAAGATTTTGTCAGAAACCTCCACCTGTGTACTTATTTTGCTTTGGCCAGAACTATGTCACATGGACACTACACCTGCAGGAGACACTGAGAATTCATTTCTACAACTTACAGCTTAGAAAGTTGAGATAAGCAAGGGAGAAGAGTCTAGAAAGGAGGTAGTCAACCTATAGCATTGTTCATGCTTATTGCTCTTGTGCCTACAGTGACTTTTAAAGAAGTTAATGTTTATTCACCTTCAACATGCAGATTAACTCCAACTCAAGCTGTATCCAAGAGTTACAATGGAACCAAAGAAAGAGGGCTTCGGAAACCAGTCATGGGTAGGAAATCAAGCTCCAGCACTTGCTAGATATGTGCATGGCACTTTTGTTTCTTCTTTCAATAATTTTCTTTTAAGGATATACAAAGCCTTTGGTTGCAACTCAAAAGTCTGTGAATGTTGGATTTCCCTGTGACCTAGTAAGCTCACATCTGGCACGTGTGTTAGCCAAAGGTGCTCTGCACAACTATATGACCACTCTCAACTTACTTCATCTCTCTGTAAAATGGGAGAATGGCCAATTCACTGGACAGTTGTGAGGACTTCATAAGACTACATCTAAAGTGCCTAGTTCACAATAAGCATGCAACAAATGTGCATCCTTTCCCCCTTTCTCATTTCCGACCTTCTGTCTGCTTAGAGATGCTTCATTTGGTTCTCATGCATGAGGGCGGTCAGGCCACAGGAAATATATCCAAACAGTTTCTGACCCACATGAATTGAAGACCATGTCTTTTTTGTATCCTCTATGATTTTGCTTAGTATATATGAGATATGCCATAAATGATGGTCTGAATAATTCTTACTGCATTCTTCAATTATTCCTTATATAGAACTAAGCTGATACTAGAACTAGAACTAGAACTAGAACTAGAACTAGAACTAGAACTAGAACTAGAACTAGTCTGCTAAGTTGATATGTTTCTTTGTCAGTTTGGGGTGCTATAATAAAGTACTATAAATTTGAGGGTACACAAACATTTGGTCCATAACAATATTAAAGTAAATTATTTTGTCTAATCACAGAATTGCAAAGGATAAAATAAAAACAATTCAAAAACACTATGTAACATTCAAAAGGAAATTTTTGCATTTTTAGGTTAAATAGATATACTATTTATGAAATGTGTCATTTTAAAAAATGCTAAATATTTAGAACTTCATCTTTCACAATGTAGACTGTATATTAATTCTATTGACTACTCAGTTACTCCTGTGCATTGTCTTTCCTGGGTGCAAAAGAAATTAAACGCTTCTCTAGGTAAAGTAACATTCCCAAGATGTAAAAAAAAAAGTTGTATAGGAACATGAAATGATTTATGGTTATCATGATGTATTGAACTGACAGACTTCAATTTATTTTTAAATAATTTTTCATTTTTCATTGCATTATTTCAGCTTAGTAAAGATGCTACAAAATGTTATTTTAAATGAAATAAAATTTTGTGGGCTGCCACTGACTTTTTAAAAATAGACTATCATTTAGAGCAGTCTTTGGTTCAGAGCAAAATTGAGTATGTTATGGAGATTTCTCATATACTCCCTTCCCCTACATATGTATATCTTCTCTCCATTATCAAAATCCAGCACCAGAATGGTACATTTGTTACAATCAGTGAATCTACATTGACACATCACTTTCGCCCATGTATGAAGGTTGAATTGGTAAGGCGAGGGCTATAAAATCCTGGTGGAAGCAGGCAGGGAAAGTTGCCTGAACTTGGATTGGTACACAGATGGAAGCCAGTAGACACAAGCAGATGCAGTCTATACTGGAAGGTTGAAAGGCCCAGAGCATGAGAGATCAGATACGGGATTCCCCACCTGCTGGAAGTCTAGTTGCCACTTAGCCAGTTCCCCCAGTGAGATTATAGTCTTCTCGCTCAAATTTCTCCCTAAGCAATTATGTGACAATCCTCTTCTCAGTACAACAGACAAGTTCTGTGGGCGCCGTTTCTGGAAGAGCTCCATTATCCCAGAGAAACTGGCACGGGAACCTGGACCACCCACCGGTGAGCGCTCCCACCCCTTCATCCTCAGCCCATGTACACTTCCCATTTGGTTGCCCTAGGGATGAGGACCAATCAGAACAGCAGCGTCCACAGGAGAAACAATAAGGCTGGAGACTTCATTGTCTGCCAGCTTTCAGCCCTAACTCAGGTTGCTGGTGCCTAAAAGTTTGGGCTTTCCCTTGTAACTTGCTTTTCTTGAGAGAGTCTCATGGGGGATCTCACTAGAAGGAGGGAAATATGTGGGAATAGCAAATAGCCCTACCTGAGAAAGACTCGGTGCCCTTTACCTCCTGGCAGCCAGGATGATCGGTGGGGAGAAGGGGGAAGCCACAAAAGAGGTAAAACAGGGCTCATTGCAGTCCTGTTTGGATGTTTAATTATACTGAGGCAATGTTTTCCTTTTCTAGTATGAAAAAATATTATAATTTTCCTGATTCTCCTTGATATGAATATTTTTTCACACCAACCCCACCTTGTCCACTTTTTAAATTTAACAGAAATCCAGCTATCCTCCATCCACAAAAATATAGAAATCTTAAAGATTAAGTGGAATTAATTTCTAATTTGCTATGGGGACTGAAGCCATCACTGTCTAGCAGGAAGTCATTCAGGAAGCCATAACAGTCAGGATAAAGGACAGAAATCGCAATTATGGCAGTTCTTGTTTAATCTTGTCGTGTAATCTGTGTCAGAAAATGATATAAATATACTATGTTAAATGTTATGGTAATTATTTAGTTGCTATACATTCATTTGTATTCTCGATTTTACCTTCAGTGATGTCCAAGATAGTCACCACTTATTAGAACATGAAAAATCATTATTAGTGTTTGAAATTTTCATTTTACTGTAAGACGGAGTCTTTCAGGATTTTAAATTGTGTCAGGTTAATATTTTTTTGCCAAAGAAGTTTTTTGTCTTTTTTATTATTGGTATAATTATATCAATTGCTTTTTAATCTTGACTTTAAAATTATTATAAAGTCTTTATCATATTAACACAATAACTCACTTTGACACTGCCTAACTCCAGGTACATAAAAAGGCAACAAATCTGACATTGTCAATAGACCACATGAATACAAAGCCACAAATCTTGTAATTTTCTACTTCAGTCAAAGTGGGTATTTTTTGTCTTATTTACATATTCTTTGCAAACAGTCAGACTGGACACTAAATCTCTTTTATTTGGATTTTTATATCCAAATGAATTCAGTTGTTTTTTTTATTTGAAAAAATTTTT